ACATTTTCAAAAATAACTCCAAGTCTTTTAAAAATACTAATGCTATGTTCTGTCATTTATGTATCTCTGAAACAGACTTATGGCTTTTTTACAGGGTTTATTCCAATAAGTAACTTCCACTTACGGGAATAATTATAACACTTAAAAGTTATGGTTATCAACTATATATTAAACACTGTTCAAAGAATTTTATATACATCATTTCTAGTCTTCACAAAATATCAAAATGCATTTACATCTCATATATACGGACCTGGATTAGAGAATTAAATGATATGCCCGAATGATGAAACATTATAGATAGAGATAACATTCAACTCCACATGTCTTACTTGATTAGTATGGGGCGTGTACTATATAATGTAATTGGTATTTTTCTTTCCTCTCAGGTAAAATTACTTTTAGCATTGAATATTCATTTTGTTTTAACAACTTAATATATACCTCTGAATGTGTGCAAAAACAGACACATACACACTCATCATTTGCTATTAATTGCTATCATTTTGGTACAAGTTTGGAAAGGACTTACTCTTGAAATAAATATGTTTGAGAAAATGGAGCTAACAAAAAATTATAGTTATTATATACAATGATTTCATCTTTTCTACTCTAATATTTTTACATGCTTGTGGTAATATGAATTTAGTATTATCACTCAGAGCTTAAATTCTCCCTGACATACACTCCCCAGCTCTGTAGTAGTCCTAGGTATAAGATATCTAGGGCAGCACAGAGACTTCAGACAGAAATTAAGAGAATTTTGCCAATGTGACTTAAAGCAAAAATTTTCCTTCCTTCCTTTTTCCTCTGCTCTCCTCCTTGTCTCAGTCTTTCTCTTCCTTTTTTTCTTTCCATTTTTTCATTTTTTCATGTTGATCAATTAGCTAACACTCTATAAAGATGCTCACAAGGGTTGGGGGATTAAGAATGCCTAGGTACAAAAAGATATCCTATTAATGTCCTTGCTTGCCCTAAATTATTCTTTTGCCTTTATCAGATTGCATCATTATCTTCATGCTATTACTAAATAATTGTCATATGTGGGCATGCTTATTCTTATCAAATTATATGGCATTGTACGAATACACCACTCCCTTTTGGCTGATACAATGATCTTTTAAATATCAGAGGTTTGAAATTATTTTACATTATTCAGATTATGAGAACTTCAGTACTGCAGATAGATACATACATACATAGATTTGAGACACAATGCAATTTCAACATTATTAAAATGATAACAACATTCGTTTGTTCATTAGTATTTAATCTGTCTGTTTAAAATCCCAAACCAGCTAACATTGAAAGCCATTTACATGAGAACCATATATTGTATCTCACCCATATTATTGCCCCCAGAAAATAAGTGGATTATAGAACCATTCATTTTTAAAATATCTTTTTCAGAGGTGGAGCTCAGGGAGCTCTGAGAGACTGCAACAGTTTACCAGAAGGAGTCAGGCCATAAAGAAAGAAGTGCTGGCATTGGGTGGGGCTGAATAGTTTGCATCTTTCCCACTATTTCTCACTGGTGTCATTTCCATGAAAATCAAGGATGTGGGAATGTATGCCAGGGTAAGAAATTCTACAGACTTCTTTGTGTGCCCAACACCCTCCACCCTATAATTTCTTTAGCTGTTTATCTTGATCACTGAAAGAGCTATCACACTGTCTGGGAAAACTGCAGAGGAGCTAAGCTAACCAAAGAAATATCATGCTGGGGATCATATTTCTCCTGCCACAACAGTCTTTTCTCCTTATGAAGAATACACTTAGCACAGAACCAAAAGGCATCTGCTGTCTAACCATCTCAAGACCATCACAGAGCAAACACATCTGGCCAAAAATCTTTCTTTTGCTTCACGAGCCACCTTTCTTTTAACACTTTCCCTTTTGCACTCACTCATTCTAAAAATAAAATGAATCTCTCTGTACCTGGTTAACACGAGAAACATCCATCAGTAGCCAGAATCCTCAATAATCCTACATGCCGAACACACCTTATCTCTGTTCACTTCACGAAGCTCTAGTGACTGTATCCATTATGAACCGTGGTTCCTTGAATATTCTCAGAAAGCAGAAATTTGCACCTGCCTCTTTAAAAAGCAATGCTTTGCCCTGCTATAGAGACTATAGTTACTCATAACGCTCCACGGCTTCAATACTTGCACTGATATTACACACTCACACATACATATTTATATACCCACATTCCGATTCCAGCACTTTACCTTTTTGGGTCTTTTTTTCCGCTGACTACTGCCATTGAACTTCTCTCCACTGTCGCTTTTCTGAGCTGCATCTTCGTTCATCATTTTGTACAGTTTGGAAAGAAAATAGCTCTGCCATTAAACCCTGCCTCCTGTACAGACCACTAGCGAGTGTGCACTTGCTGGAGGAAAGCAATAGAAGGAGGAGGGCTGGGGAAGGGGCACGCACTGGGAGGGTGAGGACGGTGACGTTGCCATGGCAGCAGCTGCCACAACTGTTTATCTGACTGCATTGTTAAATCTGATTCAACCAATTACCATCATGGACCGATTACAATGAAGAAAGCCTTGAAAAGAAGAATGTCAGGGACTCGAATGATTTGGGACTCAGCTGGTTGGTTTTTGACATACCTTCAATTCGATCAGTGCTAAACCCACAAACAAAATCTGCACTTCATTTTCTTCCTACAGGTACTTCAACACAGAACAGGTATATCACATAAGTAGCAAACTGTAATATTCTTGAATGTGCCTCTGAATCTGAAGAGATACATTTCAGCCAGGAAAGAGGATACTTAAGAGAAATTTTTCAAAGTGCATAGAGAAAATCACATTTTTAAAGATGTTATTACCTTGCTTTCACTGAGCTCAAAGATAACTTCTGTCATAGAGCCTTCAGATCAGCTTCACCAGCAACCAGGTAACTCAGACACCCCCTCCTCTGTGCCTCTTTTTCCATGAATGCTACTGACAGAGCACCTGTAACACTACTGAACAACTACACTGTTTATTCAACTGTCTTTTCTTATGTATGTGTGTGAGGGGGAGGTGTTTGGTAGGGGAAAATCATTGAATTTCTCAGAACCAAGCACAAAGCATGACACATTAAAGATGAGTAATGAAGGGTTATTGAATATATATGAATATATAAGTCAGATATTATGGGTGATACCACCATGAGGAAATCATGGAGTTAAAATATTTTATAATCAATCTTAAGAATCTCCTTATCCTAATTTTCTCTGATGATTGATGGAAAAAAAATGCAATCCTGCTCTCAAGGCACTTATAAGACTTCTAGAATTCTTCTCCATAAGAGAAGAAAACAGGCTTGTTTTTATAACAAGGAGCCCAGTTTCATGTATTGGATCGAGGTGGCCATATTTGCTGATTTGAAAATATTAAATTGTGGAAGCAACTGAAGCTCAGTGTGTTTGGAAAAATATACATATGCACACACTAAACACTCTAATCCTAGAAAACAAACTCAGAGTGCAGTACATGGAATAATTAAGTGCAAAAATAGAGTAAAGATTAAATCAGTGAGATAATATATATAAATGCACTTTGCAAATTGAAGATGCTCATATAAACTTGTGACTGTTATTGTTAACCCTATCATTATTAATATAAAAAATATTGGTAGTTTTCTATTGAGAAAGGCCTACTTTAAAATGTTTTTTACATGCAACTGTCTGCTAAAATTGTGAACTCACTTTTCTCGCAGACATAGCAAAATATGATGCCATAAAAAGAGGAAAACAAGGAAAGAAGATGGCTTTTTTAGCAACTGTTTCTATAGGGCTGATGTGTTAGTAACACACTTTGTTCTCAGCTGAAGTCAGAATGTGTTTTTAAATCGCTGAGTTAAATTTGTCTCAGTAGTCCAATTAGGCATTTAATCATTATAAATTGCAAACAAATACATTTGGAATATAGTTCAAACTCACTGCCATCGAGTCAGATCTGACTCATAGCGACCCCTCCTTGGGTTTCTGAGGCAATATAATTAAGGAAGTAGATTGCCCAACCTTCTTTCCAAGGAGTGGCTGGTGGGTTTGAACCACCAGCCCTCTGGTTAGCAGTCAAGTGCCTTAGGCAGTATGCCACCAGAGCTCCCATTTTATTAATTAGTAACTGCTTATTGCACTCAGACACATTTTATAACAGTGCCTTCTCTCAACAGACAAAAATATACTGAATTTCCCAAATACTCATCTATCAGTTCATCATAATACAGGGGCTTCCACGTTGCTGTGAGGCTGGAAGCAACGCTACTGGCATCTCAAATTCCAGTAGGATCACCCATGGTGGGTGGGTTTTGGTGAAGCTTCCAGACTAAGAAAGATTAGGAAGGTGGACCTGGTGGTCTACTTCTGAAAAAACTGGCACTGAAAACCTTATGAATAGCAGTGAAACACTGTCTGATATAGTGCCTCAAGATGAGCCCCTCAGGCAGAAGACACTCAAAATATGACTGAGGAAGAGCTGCCTCCTCAAAGTAGAGTCAACCTTAATGATGTGGATGGAGCAAAGCTTTTGTGACCTTAATTTGCTGATATAGTGCAGTAGTTATGTTTGTGTGTCAACTTGGCTGGGCCTGCTTGAGTGGCTGGGCAGCTGGTGGTAGTTATTCCCCATGATGAGACTTGTGGATCTACCACAAGCAGCTGAGTAGCTGCCTTTGGGATGTGGTCTGCTTTCTGTATCTAAGGAAAAGCCTTGGGAATGGTCTCTAGTCTTTGGCACGCTTGGACCCTGCATGTAGCTGTGTCGTTGCTCAGCAGCCTGCTATGCTCTGCCGACCTTGGGACTTACAATTGACTTAAGTTAATGGTCTGCCGTGTGGTTTGGTAACATCGGGACTGTGCCTTTTGACTTGTCAACCTTAGGGCTTCTCAGCCTCAGCAGCCAGCAGCTGTCTGAGTGAAGAAATGCCTCTAGCTCCAGTGGGCCAGGAGCAGAAGGCAAATCTGGACCCCAAGGTTGAGGGGCTTTCACCCAGCCCCTAGGGCCTGGTACTTTGAACTTAGACTTAAAGTCTCCAAATTGTAAGAATAAACTCCTGTTTGTTAAGACCATCCCATTTGTGGTATATTTCCTGTCAGAGCAGCACTAGGTAACCAGAACATACAGCAAACTCAAATTAGGAAGAAACAGTGCAAATATCCATTAGTCATTGGAATGTGAAATGTACAAAGTATGAATCTAAGAAAATTGAAAGTTGTAAAAAATGAATAGGAAAGCATAAAGATCAGCATCCTAGGTACTGGTGAGCTAAAATGGATTGGTATTGGCCATTTTGAATGAGACAGTCATACAGTCTATTACACTTGGAATGACAAATTGAAAAGGAATGGGATCCTGTTCACTGTTAAAAAGAACATTTCAGGATGTATCCTGAAGTACACTCATAGGATAATATCCATATGCTGACAAAGAAGATCAATTACTATGGCAATTATTTAAACTTATAGGTCAATCAGTATGGCCAAAGATGAAGAAATTGAAGATTTTTACCAACTTCTGATCAAACATGCAATTAAGATATGTTGATAATTACTGGTGATTGGAATGCAAAAGTTGAAAACAAGGAAGAAGGATCCGTAGTTGAAAAATATGGCCTTGGTGGTGAAAATGACACTGGAGATCACGTGACAGAATTTTACAAGACCAAAGACTTATTCATTGGAAATTCTTTTTCAACAACATAAATGAGAACTATACACATGAACCTAGCCAAATGGAATACACAGGAATCAAACTGAGTACATTTGTGGAAAGATTTGACGGGGAAGTTCAATATCATCAGTCAGAACAAGGCCAAGGGCCAACTGTGGAATAGACCATCAATTGCTCATATGAAATTTAAAGTTGAAGCTGAAGAAATTTAAAATAAGTCCACAAGAAGGAAAACATGACCTTGATTATATCCCAATTGAATTTAGAGACCATCTAAATAAAAGATTAGATGCACAGAACACAAATGAGCAAAGACCAGACAAGTTGTGGAATGACATCATATGTGAAAAGTGAAATGACATCACACATGAAAAGCAAAAAGTCATAAAAAGACAAAGAAAAAAAGACCAAAACTGATGTCAGAGGAGATTCTGAAATTTGCTTTTGCATATAGAGTTGTTAAAGTGAATAAAAGAAGATTTCAAAGAGTGGCTAGAGAAGGCAAAGTAAAGTATTATAATGAAATGTGCAAAGCCGGAGATAGAAAACCAACAGGGAAAAACATACTTGGTATTTCTCAAGCTGAAAGAAGTGAATAAAAAATTCAAGTCCCAAGTTGCAATACTGAAGGTTTCTATAGGCAAAATATTGAACAAGGCAGGAAGCATAAAAAGAAGATGGAAAGAATACACAGAGTCACAAATGGAAGAGAATTAGAAAATGTTCATCTATTTCAGGATGTAGCATATGTTCAAGAACTAATGGCATTGAAAGATGTCCAAGCTTCACTGAATTCACTGGTGAAAAACAAGGCTACAGGAACTGATGAAATAACAATTGAAATGTTTAAATAAATGAATGCAGCACTGGAGATGCTCACGTGTAGATGCCAAAAAATTTGGAAAACAGCTACCTGGCCAATCAACTGGAAGAGATCAATATTTGTACACATTCCAAAGAGAGGTGCTCAAACAGATTTTGGAAAATATTGAACAATATCATCAATATCACATGCAAGTAAAATTTTCCTGAAAATAATTCAAAAATGGTTTGAGCAGTACATTGACAGGGAACTTCCAGAAATTCAAGCTGGATTCAGAAGAGGACAGGGAACGAGGGATATAATTTCTGATGTCAGATGGATTTTGGCTGAAAGCAATGAATACCAGAAAGATGTTTACTCATGTTTTATTGACTATGCAAAGGCACATGACTGTGTGGATCATACCAAATTATGGGTAACATTGCAAAAAATGGGATTTCCAGAACACTTAATTGTACTTGTGCTGAACCTGTTCATAGAAGAAGAGGCAGTCATTCAAACAGAACAAGGGAATATGACATGGTTTAAAATCAGGAAAAGGTTGTGTCCTTCTACCATAGTTATTCAGTCTGTATGCTAAGCAAATAATCCAAGAAGCTGGACTATATGAATAAGTCACAGCATCAGTACTGGAGGAAGACTCATTAACAACCTGTGATACACAGATTATACAACCTTGCTGGTTGAAGTAAAGAGAACTTGAAGCACTTACTGATGATCAGCCTACAGCCTTCAGTACAGATTATACCTCAACATAAAGAAAACTAACATCCTCACAAAGGATCAATAAGCAATATCATGATAAATGGAGAAAAGATTGAAGTTGTCAAGAATTTCATTTTACTTGGATCCACAATCAATAAACATGGAAGCATCAGTCAAGAAATCAGACAGCATATTGCATTGAGCATTATCTTTAAAGC